CTTATTTTCCAGCCATTATTCATCTTGTGGGACACAGCTTTCCAAGATACAAAACAATGAAAATGCTGCCCACTGATCAAAAAAAGCAAATAAGCAACAATGCAAAGTTGCACCRAGTGTCAAGGAGGCAATATGACTTGCTGGCACAATATAAGATCTGAGATGGTCTTTCCATGCCGATCAATCCGCCTGGAACAATTGACACCACCATCAAGGATGTTACGAATCACAACATTCAAAGAATGTATTCCTTCAACTTCATAAATCTCCACCTTTACATGTTCATCAGCCCAACTGTTTCTTTTCTTGATAGCATCTGGATCAGGAAATGAAGTGGTATCTAGAAGAGTTGATACCACCTCCTTCACCCATTTGGGTGTTATGATCAACTTCAGCCTCTCAATATCTGGAGGGAAATGGGGTATAATTGAGAAATTCAAGTCATTTCCTTTATCCCCAGCCCTGCTATGGGCTATATCATAGAGAGGAATCTTCTGACCACATGGAGCAGGAGCAAGAGCAATGTTTGGTGATGGCAACTCTGAATGAGCACCACATGCCTGATTCTGTCTGACTAGCTGCAAGAGTGACTCATGTATAACAAGTCTTTCCGTATCCTCCTTCAAACCACCATCTTGGTTCACCAAATCCATGATTTTGGCATTTTTGGCTCCTGTTTTCCAGAAGATGCATTCACGTTTGACCTGAAATGACCATACAAACCTCTCTTATGGGGCATTCTTAGGGCCAAGTGATGATCTAAAAATTATTGGTTTTTGGAAGCTCAAAAGCATTCCAAACTGACTTGGCTTACCAAGATTCCATCAGTGAAGAGGGTGATCTTAATCTTTTACATTAGAGGGTGCTATAAGAAGTTATCAATAAATTCAAAGATGGAATGACTTTCAGAATTCAAGTTTTGATTTATATTGGAATGAACTTGGTCTATTTTGTAGTTTGACTTGAAACTGGACTGAATTGATTTTAATCCCAGAACACTATTGTCTTCCATAGCAATATGAAGTACATATCATCTCCAGAAATCTTAGTAAGTAGAAATGCAAAAGCCATACCAAATCTTTTAGAAGAATTATCATTCTTAAATGCATAATCCATACCAGTTCCTTTTGAAGAACAACCTCTCTCTTATGTCCCGTGCTGCATTTAATTAGCAAAGAAGGGATCAAGAAAGAATAAAAGATGAGAAGTTTAAAAATAAGCTACAATCTCCAACAAAAGAATAAAAAAATAAGATACTAGAGTCAGCAAGTGGCAGAAGTAATAAAATAAAATACAACTTTAGAATGAACTCCATATTCAAAAAAAGAGATGTTTTGTAAGAGGCCCTCTCTTACTAGTTTGAAGCTGAAACTACCAGAAAGAAGATAACGTTTAAAATGGATCAGTGTCTAAAAATTCTGATGCATGACATATACTTCAAGGAATGAGGCTTAGGCCTCATGAGGATGTACTAGGACCTTAAGATACATGAGGCACATGATTCAAGGGATGAGGATCAGTCCTCATGAGTTACCACATTTTTTAAGGAAAAAAACATGAATCTAAAATGAGGGGAAGTACAGAAATATGCACAAGTAATTTTTTATGTAGAAAAGGCATAAAATGGATAAATGATCACATAAAAAGCAACTTGAGAATATTAGGAACTTTAGAGAAAGCAGACAGATCCTTAAAAATCATCTAATAAAGCCCTTAAAGATAAAGAATACCTCAAATGATTTTAAATTATGTCAAAAGCATAAATATAACCACAGTACACATAGATAGATGCATTTACATTTACAATACAAATGCACACATAAGGCATCTCAGTATGAGAAGAATATGCCTCGTACATTCAGGATAGAGCCTCAAAGTTGAGCCTTGAGGTATTTTCCTTGAGCCTTGCCTGGAGGAAAACCCCAAAGCATAAGCATCATAAACTTTTTAGAACATTGGCATAGATGAAGACTACACAACTGTCCCCGTGGAACAGCATATGAGCAACAAAACTAGATTTCTTTCTCCATTTCCATGACCAACCAGTTCATGTGCACAACCAAGCATGGTTTTTAATTACCATTATTGGGTGGCTGAAGTTGGTTCAGTCACTTTCGTTGAGCTTCTTTGGAGAAGTCACTAAAAGAAGCTTCATGGGAAAGCCATTTTTTGTTGAAATACAGCTAATTTGGCTTTCTGCATTTTACACTAAACATTGCTTATAGGCTGTCCAAGTGGGCCCACCTTGCAATACCAAAAGTTTCCATGTGAAAGGCCTCCCAAACGGGCACTAAACTACCAATAACTTATTATTTAGCCAAAGGACCATAAACGATGGACACAGTTGCTTGAATTTACACTGTTTGCTTTAAGATTCTCTCACTTTCCCTGAGAAGTATGATGCAGATAGAGAGGAAGTAAAAAAAGAACCATATCTTAGACTCACAAGTTTCCACGAAATTTGGGGTTTTCTTCCATGGGGCCCATGGTACTTTGAAGTCCGCTGACCCAGATGCCCTCTAGGTTGCCAAACCATAATCAACAATGGAGTTAGACCCAAAATCTCTCTAACATGTGAATAAAACTACAATCACCTAAAACAGGCCTTTTGTGGTAGAGCTTTAACTCATACTCTTCATCATGGTATTCTCCTTTTGTTCTATCTCTCTCAAGTTCTATAAGCAAAATAGAGCATCAGCTCTCTCTATGTCCCATCAAGGGTTCTACCCCTTCAATTTTTTTTTTCTTTTCTGCAGAGATGATGGGCAGAATGGGCCTTAGTCCTTTATTTTGTGGGTCATTAGTATGTTATGTTTTCAGTTAGTGGGCCTCAGTTTATGGGCCAGCTTTCTTCCTTTTATTGTCTATTTAATAGCCGCCCTATTGAGGGCACTCTTGTCATTGTACAACTTTACAAATCAGATAAATAAAATTAATTTACAAGACTAAGGAGAGGTTCAATCAACTCTCTTCTTTCTTCCCTTTATTCCCTTCTCTTCTTCTTCCTCTACTAAACTCTCTTTCTTCCATCTTCTTCTTCCTTTTTGCTTTATTTTTCAAACTTGTGCAGGTGTGATTTGCAACTTGGTATGGAGAATTGATTGGCTAATTGATTAACAATTAATACAGCCCAGTTGGGGGAGGTTTTTGGAGAAGATTACAGTCTTTGTTTGAAGCCCAAGACAGGTTCTTGGAGGGTTTCCCAAAAACCCTAGCTAATTGGAGAATGGGATTAAGGGATATAGAGACAAATTGGACCTGGCGCTTGGGGCAAGAATAGAAGTTTTTTTATCAATATTGAGATTGATCTATGTTGGAAAGGTTTTTGGGGTCCCAGGAAGGAGCGACTAGACTTTCTCTCTTTCTCTTGGGGTGCCAAGTCCAGTAAAACCCTAATTTTGGTTGGTTAAAGAGTAGTTTTGGCCATAGGGTAGTGTTCTTTTATCAGTAGCACCCTAATTTTATTTTCATTTGTTTCTGTTTAGTTAATGCAGCAAACTAGAGGTGAGACGAAAGAACCTATGAAGTCTAGGTTTAGCCCAGGAGGGTTTGTGGAGACTTTGTTAGGACTAGTAACATCAGTGAAGTTAGATGGAACTAATTATCTAGCATGATCTTGATCAATTAAGACCCATGTTTGCAATAGAGGAAAATGGGGGTAAATCACTGGGAGTAAGAATCGGTCTAAGGAGAACTTGCCTATGAAAGGCGGATGCAGGAAAACTATACAATTGTAGATTGGCTAGTAAATTCATCCAACCTCACATTAGTCAACACTATTTGTTGATGGATACCACAAAAGAGGTGTGGGATAGTGTTACAAAGACCTATTCCCAGAAATTGAATGTTGCTATGGCCTACAAATTAAAGAATGGTATGAATAATCTAAGAGAGGGTGAGAAGCCTTTAGCCATATACTTCTCAATGCTGAAATCTCTTTGGCAGGAGATTGATCTGATGGAGACTGCTGTGTAGGGGTGCACTAAATATGTTAAGACCCATAGGAAGTTAGTGGAGAGGAATTTGGTCTTTGAGTTCCTTACTAGACTCGACCCCAAACATGATATTGTCAAACAAAACATTCTAGCAAAGGATTAGGTGTCCATATCTCAATTCTCAAGCTCATGTTATGGTTAGTAGTGAGAAGAGTAGGAGACAGGTACAAATTGCAAAAGCCCTAGTTGATCACCTTGCTAATGGTAAAATGAATTATAAAACCAAGGGTTACCACTAAGAAGAAAGATGTGGTGTGTGAGTACTACAAGAAACCTAAGCACACAAAGGACACTTGTTGGAAGCTACACCCAAAGCTTTTACCTCCAAGATTCAAGACCAATAACAATGATAAGAAGAATGGGAGTAGGAGAGGTGGCAATATTAATGTAGCCTCTTCTAAGGTGGAGAAAGGGTCCAATGATAAGAAATCTATGGGGGAACAGCTTGCAACTACCAGAGTAGAGTATGAAAAGTATGGCCGCATCATCATCTGCCTAGAATTTGCTACTACAACTGCTTCAGGAAACAACCCTTCATCAGCATATTTCCACTTAGGTATTCATGACACTATGAATCATGTTTTTGTCTCAAGTAATCATAGGATCCCTTGGATAATAGATTTTGGTGCTTCTAACCACATGACAGGTATGTCCCATTTATTTACTTCATATCAACTTTTATCTAGTAGAGATAAAACTTCCCTTCTTGATGACTCTATTGCTCCTATATCAGGCAAAGGAAACATTAGAACCTCAGATTCCCTCACTTTATATTTAGTTCTTCATGTATCTAAGCTTAATACTAACCTTCTTTCAGTTAGTAACTTGACAAAATCCTTGAATTGCAATGTAACCTTCTTTCCTTCATATTGTGTTTTTCAGTACATGAAATCTCAAAAAGCGGTTGGGAGCAAGGTTCAAAAAATCGATGCGATACACCCCATATCAGGCATATCGTATCGTATCTTTTGGGTCCCGATACGCCTGTTAGCAGGTGTTTCAAGACCCCACTATTTTCTAATAAAAAATATGGGTATTAAACTACCCAAAAACCAAATTCAAAAAAAAATTAAAAAAAAAAAAACATATTTCCGCATGGTTCAAAGTACTGATACGCCTCTGCCGATACACAAAGGCATATCGATACTTTGAACCATGGTTGGGAGTGGCCATGAGGTGAATGGGACTAGACATGCTTGAGCAAAGTCAAGTACCACCTCAAAAAGTTGCTTTTGGGTCACATGTGTCAGAGTCAGTTAGTCAAGTCATGTTGTGTCATTATCGTTTAGGTCATCTTTCATTTTTTTCATTAAGTCTTTTGTTTCCAGCATTATTTAAAGGAATAAATTTGTCCAGATTAATTGTGAGTCTTCTAAGCTATCAAAACTGTAATCATTCATGGAGAGTGGGAGATGAGAGAGAGAGAGAGAAAAAGAGAAGGAGAGGAAGATACGATTGAGAGAAAAAGAACTGACCTCTCTGGCGGCCGCCAGTTCACTATTTATATTAACTTAATAAAAAGAATAGAAATTACAAGTATGCCCCTGGCGGCACACATTAGAGACAAACTAATAAAAAAAGAAGGAAAAATAACTAACTRACAGTATCTTAAGAGGACAACCTACTAACAACAACTATAAAGTAACAATTAAATAGGCCTTACAACACTCCCCCTCAAGTTGGGCTGAATATGTCTATCATGCCCAGCTTGTCACATAACTCATTGTRYCKCGAGTATGGAAGCCCTTTTGTGAGGACATCAGCGAGTTGTTCCTTGGAGTTGAGATAAGGGATGCAAATTTCTCTTTTTTCCAATTTTTCCTTTATGAAGTGTTTGTCCACCTCAATGTGCTTGGTCCTCTCATGTAGGACAGGGTTGCTGGCGATGTTTATGGCTGCCTTGTTGTTACAGTAAAGAAACATAGGATTATGAACAACAACTCCAAGCTTCCCTAGAAGATTCTTTAGCCAAAGGACTTCAGCCACCCCATGTGCCAAAGCTCTATATTCAGCTTCAGCACTTGATCTTGCTACCACACTTTGTTTCTTACTTTTCCAAGTCACTAGGTTTCCTCCCACAAATGTGTGTTGGATTGAAGTCTTTGCATGTATGAGTATTCGGCTGATAAGAGTTCTTATTAGCCTTGATGAGAGTAGAATTTA